ATCTTTAGTAAATTAGCTCATGATGACCGGGATATTTTAGTTATGTGTCCCAAAACAGAAATCTTCTTGTTCCATTGCATTTCTCATGACAAAAGTTCAAACAAAAATCTACTACAAAGCTAAGCTATATACAGAGAAACTTTTAAAAATCAGAAGATACAATCCCTCAATCAGAAATTAAGAAATGGAAATACACTATTAAGGTTTCTCCTGAACAACTTCTATTTTATGGCTCTATGTATAAACTAAGATGTAATTTAAATTATTGTGGTACGGACCTCTAAAATTATAATTCTCTCTATAACTTCTCTTTAAAATTAAACCACTTAATGTAGATAAACATTTCTTTACAAGTAAAATAAATCACTTAATCACTAGAGAATCTTTACCAAAAAAATCCTGTCATGGCATAACTTGGTTACTGCATTTGGTAAGAGCTAATAGACAAAGGGTTTGGGTTTTCTTTCCTTACATCTACTTTTATATATCCTGTGAATGAAATCTATTTGATATATCAACCTGATATTTAGTGGACTGCTGGGTGTGAAAATTGCTTAATTTGCAGTAAAAGATATTCTGAACTCCAGTGCAATTGACTTCGAGTTTTCATTTAATTTTAATTTTTTTTTTTTCAATGACAGCTGTTAATTTTTATATTTGCTTTTTAAAGTTAATATAAGTATTTTGGTTTTATTGTAGGTTAAGAAAATTTAAAAAGCAATCATCAACTGGAAAGCTTCATTTTTAGAGTTTTGTCTGTGCAAGGCAATTTTTTAAAGCTTGATTTGTTAATACATATTCCAGAGAATTCATCCACTTAACAATTTTCATGCAGAAATTCTTTATTTTGCAATACTTAGTAATACTTTCCAGCTTTTATATTTCACATATATAATTACCATGACTAAGCACATCAGTGAAAAGTACAAGAATCACTCACAGAAACATCATTTTTGGCCAGGAGAATAGTAGTGAATGAAATAAGACTTAAGTCTCCTAAACAAACAGAAGTTTTATATATTTAGACAGAGGGAAAATCCTTGAAAACTCCTGGGCAAATTTATGTGGCTTCAATAAAAACATGGAACAGAATTGAGTAATTTCCGCTTTATTGCACTTACTTAATAGTAAAAATTTCCTGTAAAAGGCTAGAACAGTTTGAAATATTTAACATTAAGACACTTCTGAAAATAAAAGCAACAAATTCAGGATTTATATATTTATCTGAATATATACTCAACATCTAGATAGAAATATCTAGCTGATAAGAAATCACGTTCATGCTCTCTGTGGCTATAGTTTGCAAAATTGCTACAAAACCTGTATAATCTTGATCCCTTAAATTGCAAAGAATGTCACATCAATTGATCCATCACTTGGGGATATTCCAAAACTGAAAACATCCTTTTCTCAGTAAAATCTGAGATTCCTGAGAAAATTCAGGTATCTCTTCTGTCAGTTTTTAAGACAGGAGAAATCAAGAACTGTAATAATACACAAAGGATGGAAGCAAGGACAGGGAGAAATACAGAAAAATTCTCCAAGCAGCCAGGGATCAGGTTGGGACAGCTAAAGCCCTGACAGAGATAAATGTGGCCAGGAACATAAAGGGCAACAAGAAAAGCTTCTACAGGTACGTCAGTGACAAAAGAAAGACTAGGGAAAACATGGGCCCTCTCTGGAAGGAAATGGAAGACCTGGTCACCTGGGACAAGGCTGGCCTCAGTCTTCACCAGCAAGGACTCTAACCACACTGCTCAAGTCACAGAAGGCAAAGGCTGGGACTGGGATAATGAGGAACCACTGTAGGAGAAGACCAGATTCAATGAACTGGAAGATGTACAAGTCCATGGAACTTTATGAGATGCATCCATGGGTCCTGAGGGAACTAATGCATGAAGTTGCCAAGCCATTACTCGTCATATTTGAGAAGTTGTGACAGTCTGGTGAAGTTCCCGCTGACTGGAAAAGGGGAAAAATAGCCCCCATTTTTTAAAGAAGGGATAAAAGGAAGACCAGGGGAACTACAGGACAGCCAGTCTCACCTCTGTGCTTGGCAAGATCATGGAGCAGTTCCTCCTGGAAACTCTGCTAAGGCACATGGAAAATCAGGAGATGATTGTTGACAGCAAACATGGCTTCATTAAAGGAAAACTATGCCTGATAAATTCTATGATGTTGTTACAGCGTTAGTGGATAAGGGAAGAGGAACTGACATCTACCTGGACTTGTGCAAAACATTAGACAGCGTCCTGCCCGACATCCTGATCTCTAAATTGGAGACACATGGATTTGACAGATGGACCATTTGGTGCATAAGGAACTAGATGAATAGCTGCACTCAGTATTGGGACTGGTTGGATGCCATCTAGAGGCACCTGGACAGGCTTGAGAGCTGGGCCCATGCAAACTTCATGAAGTTCGACAAGGCCAAGTGCAAGGTCCTGCACATAGGTTGGCGCAATCTTGAGCACAAATTCAGGTGTAGACTAGATTGGGAGCAGCCCTGAGGAGAAGGACTTGTGGGTGATTGTTGATGAGAATCTCAACATGATCCAGCGATGAGCACTTGCAGCCCAGAAAGCCAACTGCATCCTGAGCTGCATCAAAAGAAGTGTGGCCAGCAGGTCGAGGGAGGTGATTCTGCTCCTCTACTCTGATGAGTCTCCACCTGGAGTACTGTATCCAGCTCTGGAGTAGCCAACATAAGAAGAACATGGATCTGTTTGCACAAGTCCAGAGGAGGGCTACAAAGGTGATCAGAGGGCTCAAGTACCTCTCCAGTGAGTACAGGCTGAGAGAGTTGGGTTTGTTCAGCCTGGAGAAAAGGAGGCTCCAGCAAGATCTTAGAGTGGCCTCCCAGTACTTAAAGGTGGCCTACAGGAAAGATGGAGGGGGATTCTTTATCAGGAATGTAGTGATAGGATGAGAAGTAATGGATTCAAACTGAAACAGGGGTAGATTTTGGTTAGATATCAGGAAGAAATTCTTTAGTGTGAGGGTGATGAGACACTGGAACAGGTTGCCCAGAGAAGTTGTGGATTCTCCATTCCTCAAAGTGTTCAAAGGCAGACTGGATGAGGCTTTTAGCAACCTTGTCTAGTGGGAGGTGTGTCTGCCCATGGCAGAGGTCTTGGAACCAGATGATCTTTATGGTCCTGTCCAACTCTAACCATTCTATGATTTTATGATTCTCTGATAAAACTGCCCAAATCTAACAATCATGTGATTTTGTCACCTATTTTTGAAACTTTAACTATACAGGCTGTACAGTCCAATATTGAGTGGACTTCTTTTGCAGTGGTGTCTCTAACATAGTAGCAAGCTTTTTTCTGTATACATTTCTTTCAGGGATTTTTTAAAAAGCCCAAATGAAGACACTTGATATACTCTTTTTCTAGAGGCACATTCATAGCAGTGTTCTCTGTTAGTAAAGAGGCAAAGTCAATAGTAACTAGACTATTGACATGAGTGTCATAGTAACATCCCATCTCCCCAAAGGCATGTTTTTCTTGCTGCTGAAATCTTCTTTGTGACAGATTGCAAAATCAAAGAGTGGTCGAGGTTGGCAGGAACCTCTGGAAGTCATCTGGTCTAACCGCCTATTCAAGCACCACCTACAGCTAGGCGCCCAAGACCATATCCAGATGGCTTCTGAGTATGTCCAAGGATGGAAGCTCCACAAACTCTCTGGGAACCTGTCCCACTACTTGGTCACCCTCACAGTGAAAAAGTGTTTCTTGATGTTCTGACGGTACCTCCTGTGTTTCAGTTTGTGTCCATTGCCTCTGGTCCTGTCACTCGGCACCACTGAAAAGAGCCTGGCTCTGTCTTCTCTGCATTCTCCCCTCAGGTACTTATATACATTGACAAGGTTTCTGCACCACAGCCTGGTCTTCTCCAGGCTGAACAGTCCCAGCTCTCTCAGCTTTCCCCATAGTAGAGATGCTCCAGTGCCTTCACCATCATAGTGGTCCTCTGTTGGACTCTCCATTAGCTCCATTTCTTGGTTCTGGGGAGAACTGGACACACTACTCCAGGTGTGGCCTCACCGGTGTTGAGTAGAAGTGATCTGAGGATGAAGCGAGTGAAGCAGAACGAACACAGAGGGCTTTGTTTTTTAACCTGCCATATGAACATTATAAATGGATTAAATTCACTGCTTAAAAAAAAAAAAAAAAAAAAAGGAGGAGTTGCCATCATGGCAAGCATAGCATTTAAGGGAGAAATTTTGCAGATTTACCCGTTCCTGCTCCACATATGCAAAATTTACTTTACATCATAAATCATACCAACTGCCTGCCACTAGAGGTCATGTATTTACTGATGAAACAAATGATGAGCTGGATCAGATTTCATTTGGTTTTGTTCAAACTGGGAACCAGGCAGAAAGAAAGCAGAAGAGACTGCTCAGCTCCAGAAAACACTGAAACTACTGTTTCTCTAAAAAAACGATATAATTAATTCTTTTCTATTCATCTACTTAGATTCCAAGGGTAGAAAACAATCTGTGGAACTTATGTAAAAAGTCAATGACTATGGTAAGGGATTTGTCACATTAGCTCCGAATATGTTTACAGAACACATGAAGTTTACAGAACACAGGCAAGGTTTGGTGAGAAGTAAAGGATTACAGTATTGAAATAAAACCAGAAGATTCCTTGACTTTTCACACTGAGGCATATTCATTTGACTGTTTAACAAATGATGGGGATAACTTTAGGAATTAATTGTAGGATACCAGTTTAACCCCTTTGCTATCACTAACCAAGAAAACAAACCTGCACACACTTAAATGTATTTCACTAGAAGATAAATTGATTGGACTTCTCAAGGATGAAAATGGCACGAAAGTAATAATAGAAGATCCGTAACTAATGTCTTAATAAAGATAATCATTCAAGAAAATTCCTCCTTTTTCATATATTCAAAACAAGGAAAAAATTTATGTTGCTTCTTTGGGCCTATAGTGGTGGCAGAATTAGACAAAAGGCAGATTAAGAGCTGTATTACTTTAATTAACATATATACAAGACTGTAAACAAGCAGAGAGGTTAATGCTGTGTTGGCAGAAGCACATGACTGCCCTGAGGCACAATGTAATTTCGGAGGTACCTTGGGCTACTTCAGATTGTACAGCAGAAGGTACACAGCTATAGGTTTGCTTTATTCACTTTCAAAAGAATAAGTATGTTCAAAAAGGAACAAAACCAGATCATTTTTGCATAAATTACTAGAAAACTACACACAATCAAAACGCTGATTTTACATTGCTTCCAAAACAAACACAGCATTGGGACTTAAATGCAATTAAGATTTTACTAGAAATATGAACCAATGAAGAAAATCAAGAGAAAAGATAACGAATGTATGAAATTCATGGCTTTGCAAGCCAAGCAGACCTGCTAATTTCTACTCTATTATGACTTTCTCCGGATTCTACCATATCCCAATCCACATGCCTCTCCAAAACATGAAAATATAGTTGGTAGAGATGTTAACTGGATCATTAAATACCATGAAGTAGATAAAAATTAATGACCCAAGGCTTTTCTTCACTGGAAAAAAAGCACACAAAAAGGAAGAATCTTAATTTAAAAAGGCACCATTTTTTTTTTCTCAAAAGTTCCTTTGAGAAATTCCTTTCTCAAATTTCCCTTGAGTGAATTCTGACCTAGGCCAAGTCAGAAAACTATGTGGAGAGAGCTACCACAGTAGAGATAAAACAATCCACAGAGGAGAATGATTTTATTCAGAATGCCAAAGTATCAGAAATAAAGTTGCAGAAGAATTTGACATCTGAAACATTCAGCAAACACTGAAAAGCTGCCCAGAAAATGTGTTGTAAGCATCCCAGGTAATCTACTTTGCATCTTATTTTATAGCTGGTAGAGTCAAAGGGAGTATTGTACTGACAAAATGTTGTGCCATGTTTCTGGGAGATAATCTTCTTACAAGGTGAGAGTGGGCCTGTGCACCACTTGGCCTTTAAATGAGAGGGTATGGTTTTGAGATGCTTGAAAAAAATTGTTTTAAATATGCTTTTTTTTTGGCCTTTTCTGCCTTATGTGGTGGCAAAAACTCAACCACTTTCAAAATTCAGAGAATGGAAGTTCTCAGACTTTTTAAAATGCAACTTTATTTTTGCAACAAATCCAAAGGTCTTGTCTAGTACTCCCATGGTGGGTCTATGATTGAAAATTTGACACGCTACGGTAATATACAACAGGAGAAGTGCCATGACTTGTGACACAGCAGAAGCTGATCAAATACAATACCATGAAGTTAGAAGAAGACGACATTTTATAATCTTTCCCCAAATTCAGTAATTTTTTCTTCAAAATACTTTGCTTGTCCTCTCTGCAAGGTATTTCAGTATGATTTTATCATATTCTTCTAAATTAATCATCAGTTTTTTCCTAGAGTGTAGTTTCCCATTTCCACTTCACAGGAACTTGGGATCAGAAAAAGACTTCCTAGTTAATCAGTTTTCATGTCCTTATCCTGGTCGTAATTTGACCAAGCTCCATCTAAAGTTTTAGAATTCACTAAATCTATTAGAAATTGGTTCCAAAACTCTCCTCTACTGAAGATTAAAAGTCTTCTAATTTCTAAGAGAAAATTAATTGTGGTCAGTTTGCTCATTTGTTCTGAAATTTTCTGTTGCCTTTTGTCCTTCTTATGGTTGCTTATTATTTCATGGTGCACTTCACTTTGCTAGACTGAACGAGCCTGCTTTTTTCAATTCTCTGTTGGAAAATAAACTTCTCTAGTAATCTTTCTACACATCTTCTCCTTTAAAAGGGATTTCTGGAAAGTTTAGGATCCAAGTGATACACAGTATGGTGCACAGCAGCTTGTAGAACAACTTCAGCAGGTCTCCACTAGCTCTCATAGCAATACACACATAAATTGTAGGTCATATTTGCCTTTTCCATGAGCAACCTCCATCTAGTCCGACAGATTACCCATGTCACAGTCTATTACCATTTTTATCTGTGCACTCTAGATACGTTCCTAGAAACCAGTTGTATTTTGCCATTTTCAGGTAGGTTGTGTATCCAGTCTTGAAAGACAGGAATTTAAACTTCTTTAATAGCTTTAGGTCATGTCTCATATCAGAGCATCTTATAAAAGCTCGTTGGATCTACTCCATTTCTGTTTAAATTGCTTGTTGAGGAACAACAATATCACTCAGGCAACATAACCAGTGCAAAAATACATCATATTTAATTTCCTTCCTCTCTACCTATTCCTGTGGCTTTCTCCTAAAATCTGTGTTTTGATATAGATTCTAAATAGATTATAAAATGGATTCTAAAATCTAAAATAGATTCTAAAATCTATTTAATTCCCTAGATTATTCAATTCCCTATTTAATTCCCAGGGAATTAAATAGGCCTAGACCAGATACCATAATGCTACCTTCCCCAAATTTCCTTAAAAATGTTGGCTTTAGCTGAACACACTATTTTTCATAGCGAGTTCCACTCACTTCTCTTTTGCCCTTCCCTTCTGTCACTGTCCTGTGATGATAAAACCATCAGATACAACCAGAAGATAACAACATACTAGCTGAGCTGGCAGATCAGGGAGGTTTTTGTCTCATTAGCAGTAAAATGCTATGGATTAGCTAGCAATGCCATGGATTATTCTTTCTAGTCTAGCATGCAGGCACTCTAGCAAAGATCAGGATATTACTTCAAATGACATATCCTACTTTATTTTAATTAGGAGGAAGAAAAAAAAATTCAATAAAATGCAAACACACATAGGCAAAAGACTTTACCAGTATGCTTTTCCTGAAACGGGTTAGTATGGCAGATGGTTTAGGCACATCCTTAGACCTCTCAAGATGCTGTTAACTGGGATATATCTTGATAACTAGTTGGAAAAATATTCCAGACTATAGCCAGAAGTGATAATAAGCTAGTATCAGAGTTTGAAGGCCGTCAGTGACCAGCAGGGAAGCCAGCTACCTGAGCTCCTGGGGGCTCGGGAGGGTCACACTGTCTGTGGGGCTGGGGCAGCACCTGGGAGGGACCCCGAGGTGGCCATGGTGGAGGGTGGGGAAGGCCCATCTGCCAGGGAAATCCATGGCCCTCTAGCTCCAGCCACTGCTCACTGCCCTTAAAAGCTGCAGCAGGAACAGCCGAAGTCTTATTTGCACTTTATCTATACAAATACACAGACACGCATCCTCTTCTCTAACCTACTGCTTTTCTTTGTGCCGGTGGTCATCTCCATGTAGTTTCTGTGCTGCTAATCAATACTTATAAATGTCTGCTTCTCTCTGAAGAGCTGTGACACCAGGGGAAGAGAGGGTGGTTGGGAATTCAGGAGGATGCCCTGGCTTTCGCTGTGAAACTGAAGCCACTGCTGATGATTCTGATTTCATTTCACTTGTCTGTACAATGTTATGGACTCTTGAAAGGGGAAGGACTCTTCAGGACAAACCTGTGCTGCCCAGAGATTAATGCCAGCGGTGGTGGTTAATTGATCCTTGGACTCCTTCCCAGTTGTTCTTGTGCAGATGAGCAAAAAAATTCCCACTAGATGTAAATAAATTTGGTACTTCCTTGTATGCTTGACAAATTCTTGTAGTTGAAATCTGAATTAACTTCTTCACTAACTGGAAGCTCCTGTAGGTGGAAACTTTCTGTCACACAGAAGGGGAATAGCGTTTCCAAAGAAATATTTGCAAATGTCCAGGGTTTCTTTTGATGGCAATGCGTTTCCACACCCAAGTGGGTCACACGCCAACTCGCTTGCCTAAAGTGGGAAAGTACCGTATCTGGGGGGAAAAAAGAATAAAAATCTCTTTCATTTTTTCCAGCACTCGTAAAGAACATTGTGAAGTTTTTTGGTTTTCTCGGAAAAAAAACCAAAACCCAAACATTCATGGAGTGCATCAGGTGCCTGATTTTTTTTTTAATTATTATTATTTTTTTAATTTTTTCTTTTATCTCCAGAGCTGACCTTGCCAGACAAACCCGGCGTCCCTTTTTTTTTGCGGCGGGGTCCGGGTGGGTGCCG